GATGTCCCACTGACCCCAGGTCAGCACCTCCAGGTCTAGCAGCACCGTGACCCCCCCCCCCCCCCTACTGAAATACACAATTAAACATTTTCTATGACCTATTTTTTGTATTAATAAAATTAAACTGAAGACAGTTTAATGACCTAGAGATATCCTATTATTCCACTGCTTATGTACACATGTTGTAAATAATCTTTAAAACCTCAGTAAATTAAATAAACAATGTGTTTAACAATTACAATGTAATATTGTATTTTCATCTTATCACAAAGTAGAGGTAAGAATATATCCATCCTCTCTCTGCAGCTTCATGTCTTCTATTATTATAACTTTCATCATTGAGACAGAAGAAATCAATCATGTTATTTAACATCACCAGCAGTAACACAAATATCAGCAAAAGTGTGTTTATCAAGTTGTTTATTTGTATTATATGTGCAGCAAGTATATAGAAGCAGCTGTTTGGGGAATCAGACAGAGTCAAGCTATAATCGTTAAATATCTATTAAAAGAAAGGACACATACAAAATCTAATTCTGAAAGTAAGACACAAGTCTGTAGGACGGCAGTAAGCAGAGGTGGAGGATGCTCCTGATCGCCGTTTTGCTTTCTCCAGCACCACGGGGTGTCCAGGTGGATGGCAGCTCTGTCCTGATGATCCGCTGTGCACTTTTCAGATTAGGGGTCCTTCTCCAGCAGATCCATTTCTCCAGAATTTTCCTAATTACAGAGAAAAACAAGAGAAAAATAAAAAAGTGAATTAATCATATTAGACACAGGGTTGCAGAAGTATTATTGCAAAATCTAACTCAGCATTTCAGACAAACAATCCCTAAAGGACCATTTAAAATGATGTGCTGTTCTGTTTTTTTAAAAACTAAAGAGATGAAATGACAGACACACCTGCATCCCTTTGACAGCACTGCACAAACTAACATCAAGCTAAAGGATGCTGTCTATTTGTAATTGTCTTATTATTATTATTATTATGGGATTAGGATAAATTAAATACACTTTAACCTAAATAAAAGATGATCAAATATTGAAAATAGGCTTTTTTTAGCCCTACCTCAAAGCAGCATGAGCTGAATAAAAAGGTTGTAATGTTGTCCCAAAGTTTAATAAACAGTACAAAATTGGAACATGTCAGAAAAATAAATAAAGCTAACAGCAGCTACACGTCAGGGTAGCGCTTTATAAATCCCACCGTACTGTAGGCTATACCGGTCTAAATGTTTTCACTTTGGTCTATTTATGTAATATAAAGTATAACTTATCTATAACAGAGCCAAGATCTCTGTATGACTTTAGTAAACTTCTGAATTGAATAAAAAACAAGTGTAAACAACAGTGCAGTACGTCCAGCTAGCTAGTTAGCGTCACATATTTATCCGTATTATTTAACGAAAATGTACGTTTTAATGCCCCTTGGCTTTGACGTGTGTGACGTTAGTTAATTTAAAGTAAGTTAAAACCCAATACTCACATTTATTAGTGATTCCTCCGCTCGCTGCTGCTTTTAAATCCACTCTGCTGGGGAGACCGGAAGCCATTTCATTTGAAAAAAACTCCCTCTTCCCTGCGCGCATTGCACCCTGGGATATGGTAGGCCGCGGAGTGTACATCAGATGTATCCTTCAAATTGGGGAAAAGTAGGCTGCATTCGTGGGCCGCATTCGGAGGAGTCTCGTCTTTTTTAAAAATTGGGACAGCCTTCTTTCGGCGGAAGTGACGTAAGCGGTCTACGAATGCACCCTTCGAAGGATGCAACCCCTGAATTGAGACACGGCCATAGACTGTGTATATAAATGGACGTAGGGTCCGTGACGTCACCCATAGGATTCTGCAGAGTTGCCGACATATACAGTCTATGGCTGTGACGTAATATCTCTTCTTTTTTTTAGAGGAAAGGGGGGTCAGGGGGCCTAGGTATAAAAGTCACGGCTCGCCACTGTAAACAACACTGCAGCATCATCTTCAAAAGATAAATAAAGCTGATGTGTTGTGTTTGTAGTAGGTAGACTCTAAAAGGGGTTCTCCTTGTAGAAAAAGGTATGCATTTTGAATAGAATAATAAGGATCAGGACCTCGAGGTGGTGGAGATGGGTGAACAGGATGACAAGGTGACATTCGTGTTCGCTATCCCGAGGGGCCGGGTGGCCACGTTCACGGGGGAGGAAGACGACGAGGACGCCTCGTTGTCTGGTACTTCCGGGTCCAGCGGCCAGGAGGATCCAGCACACAGGTCTGCGCGCCTGGACTTCCCCGCGGTGATGACCCTGACAGTAAGCCGCCTTCGACAGGGGTTTTACGGCCCAGGGCATCCGGCCTTTGTCTCGCCTCCGTTGCCAGATATCTGGCAGTGTGTGGAGGCGACATGGCGGCAGCCATTGAGGACGAAGGCCCCAATAGCAGCCATGGCAGGTATTAACAGGGTGCAGGGCTGCTCGGACACGGCGTGTCCCGGTGTGCCCCTCCTCGACGAGAGCCTGGCGGCCCATCTGCTTCCGCAGGCAGCTGGTTGGGCGGAGGGAAAGAAACCTCTGCCCCCGCTGTCACGGGACCGAGATACCCTAGAATATTTGGATAAAATATTCAGGCTCGGGACACAGATGGCGGTTGCGGCTAATAATCTTGGCGTGTTGGGTGTCTCCCTGATTACCCCTCAGACGTACACCCCCGCCCTCCCGCCTCAGGACGCGGGCGATTATCCGGACCACTGCATTGGTCAGATGAACAATCTGATCCATGGGGTTGCCGCCGCAGTGGGGCGGATGATGTCCTTGGCCACAGTGGCGTCGCGTCACGTGTGGTTAGGACTTACCGCCCTATCCAAGAAGGACCGAGAGGATCTCCTTGGAGCCCCCGTGTATTGGGTTTCTGCACCTTGCAGTTGCAATTTAGTTGCTTTTATCCTGGATTACGTGTTTAAGGCATGGATGTAAAGTTTAACTTCTTCATATTTGTATAACATGATAATTTAGAGTTCACTCATGAAGTATAACGCTCAGCTGTCAGTAAGCTTGTCTATATTGTGGTGACTCATCAAGTTGAAAACCAGCATTGTACAGTAGGACCGCTTAGCGAGATCTCGTTTGTTAGGGTTAGTTAAGCCAGATAACTCAAACATATCCAGGGTCTGTTGAACTGGCTTCGTAGTACAGGCCTCATATCAGAACAAGCTATTGCAGCATAATCTTATTTATCCATTCTGCTCACTACTTTCCAACACATGTCACTCAAACCTAACTTTTTAAAATACTTAAAACTGTCTTACTCTGAAGCATTTATCTTACTTCTCCATGTGAAAAAGACAATTGATGATTTTAGGGTTTATGTATCCCTCTAATGGGTAGACCCCATTTCTTTTGATTCATTTATAGAAATATTTCCCAGTAATAACAACAGTATTTGGCAGTTGAATAAAGTCTGGTTGATATGAATAATGAGGTGTCCTTTCACATCTTCTGTTCTTCTGAGCTGTATTAGCACAGGGGACTGGAGCGCAGACAGCCAGCATCTGTCTCTCTCTCTCTTAAACACATCCCCACACACATACATACACACACACACACACACACACACACACACACACACACACAGACACACACACACACACACACACACACACACACACACACACACACACACACACACACACACACACACACACACACACACTTACACAGCAGTCCAGACATCTGGCGGGGCTCTACAGGGTCTTGGTACTGGGACTCTTACAAGGACTAAAGATACTTCAGCGGTAATGACACGTCCCCATTGGCCAGACCGGGCAGAAAAACAGGAAGTAGGGACAAGACTGAGGGTCAGAGAGGTCATCCATCTTGGGAGGGGGATTTAAATACTGTACAGTAGCAAAGAGTCACAGAGATACAGAGAGATATAACGTCCTCTGCCTAAGGCCAAGGCAGAAAATGTGTTTCAGGGAATGACCAGATTCCCAAAAAATATGTATAATTGCATTGAGCTTTACTTTATTTAGTGCTTATAATAAAAATGAGTTTATTAAAGGTTTGAAAACACTTTAAAAAAGGGAGAAGTATTTGTTTCCCACGTCATATGAAGGCTATTTTTAAATCTGGCATGAGTAGAAAGGTTGAATTTACAGCTTCAATACGATTTGGCTTTAAAGAGGTCCTATTATGCTTTTTGGGCTTTTCCCTAACCGGCAGTGTGTTATATATGTGCGTGTAAATGGTCTGCAAAGGATAAAATCCAAAAGTTAGGAGTTTCTCTCCCACACACTCCCCCCCCCCCCCATCCCTGCCTGAAACGCTTACATTGGACTCCTTTGATTACTTCCGCAACATAATGAGATCACTATGTAACACCCGCACTGCTATTGGCTAGCGCTCCAACACATTGTATGTGATAGGAGTAGGATATCTCTAAGCGGTTGACCAATCACAACAGTTCTGGCCAGCTAACCAATCAGAGCAGACTGGGCTCTGGTTTCAGACAGTGGTGAAAAGAGGGGCTGCAGCACAGGCAGTATGAGAAAAATAAAGAGTTTTTTGAACATTAAAGCATGGAGACATGTCACAGTAGAGACACTAAATACTAATATGAACCTGAGAACTGGCATAATATCTTCTCTTTAAATGGAATGATCTTTGCTGCCTCTATATTTGAGATATTCAAAGTCACAATATCGAGAAGCAGCTAAGTGGACAATTATTCTGTGGGCATTTTTCCCCTTTATGAACAATGTCAGTGTATACATGTAGGCAGATAATAAATTGGGTAAAGAAAGGGCTATAACATGCAACAAGCACATTTATTTGAATAATTGTGTTTTGTGACAGAAAGCACACAAACACGTTGCATTAAAGAAATAAAGTAAAGCATAATGCAAGTTTTTTTTTACGATTATTACAGCCTGATTTAGTGTTAAATACCGAGAGAAACATAATTTTTCCGGTTTTCCCAAACTTAAATAGGCAAGTATATGTTCACTTGACTAATAAAAAGGCACTTACATATGGCAGGGTTTCCTCCTGGGTTGAGGGTTACTCTGAAGGCTTGATGCCAGGTGTGGCTTCCAGGGGGGGCGTCACATGGGTCGATGTAAAGCAGAACACCTCCAAAACCCAGTTCAGACAGGAGGGATAGCTGGAGGCACACAATAAGAAACATGTTATGCTAAAAATGCTTTAATTGTGCAGGCAAGACTGCGACAACTCATACTGTACCTCAGCATGATTCAAAACCTTTTTTATTTCATTTTAGCACGTGTTGGTTGTTTTCAAAGGTGTTAAAGTAAAAGGAAATAACTGCCAATTTACACATCACAGCTGTTATACAACACATCCTAGGAGAAATAACAAGCCCTTTACTTTGCATATGCATCACTCTAATCATCTCATAGCCAACTTTGAGTTTCTACTTCCTTTGGTGTTAGGAAGGTGGGGTTGTGTACATTGTTGTTGAAACGGTAGCGTAGCGGTACTTATTTTTGACTGGTTGGAAAGAGTCTTGCACACAAAAGTCTTCCACATCTCTCTATGGCCCTTGTTTGTTAAAATAAAGAGCAGGGCTGGGCTCGTTAACGGATTCATTCATTAACGCAGACAATAATTTTATCGAGCATTAAGATTTTTTGTATTATTAATATTATTCCATATATAAGTCTGTTGCTCACTGGCTCTGAAGTCACATACAGACAAACCATGGGTTACAGGAGGGGTGGGATGTAGGGGTGTTGAAAATAATCGTTTCTACGATGCATTGCGATGCGGACGTGGACGATTCGGTCTCGATGCAGTGACGGAAGATAATCGGCTATAGCGTAGTAACGTTGCTTCCTGATTTTCCGGCCGCGGCTTTACTATAACGTTTTTTTTTTTCTGTCACTTTAATATCAAATCGGTTGGTGACATAGAGATCAGGGAACAGACGTGACAGCGGCACAGCAACACCAAACACGGAGCAGTCTGCTTTATCCACCAACACAACACCACCAGTCCAGAACCAACAGCAGAAGGACCCGCTCTGAATCACTCTGTGTCGGCTCAGAGATTTATGTTTTTCAAAAATAATCGCGTTACAATCATGTCAGGTTTTTGGTGGATTTAATTAAGTCTTGGATTGCAGAGTATGAATGTCCTCTAGCAATTTTCAGACGATATATACGCAGTGCTGGAATTGGGCCGGTACTCACCGGTACGCAGTACCGGCACTTCTGGTTCTGACCCATGGAGTACCAGCACTTCTTGCTCAGTACCGGCATGCTGGCGGTACTCCGGTACTCATGCACCGTGCCAGTACTCAACACTCTCCCGCCGTTCTTATTATACATCCATATATATATATACAGCCGCCCGGTACTCAGTAGATGCGTCATGAGGTGCCGAACGGACATTCTCATCGCTATAACCGCTGGAGTTTCACAGCGGCTGTCAGCTGTTTACTACTGTCATTCAAACAGAACGTGCTGGAGAGGGGGCGGGGCTTATCTTCTCCATGTAAATACTGTGGTGGAAACCACTATGTCAAAATTAACCTATTTTACCGTGATTTAATAGTAATACACGTTTCAAAATAATAATAATAATGCCGAAGTAACAACATACTGAAAACTGTTAGTAAAACCATGTTTTAATGCTTTACAATTTACATACCTAGATGCACGTGTGTTGTGTTTATGCAGTGCAACTCCCACCCAGTGGGTGGCTATGTAGAGTGATAGAACAGAGCAAGCACGCCCCCGAGAGAAGGAAAGCAAGTCACGTCACAAATTAGCATTTCTAAAATGTTAGCGTGGATTAATAAAAGTGCAAAAAGACAGTGGTTGTCGCCGGAAGAAACTTCAAATACAGAGAATGCTGTGCCAGTGTTGGAAATTGTGTCTGATGGGGAGCTTTCTTTGGTTGATCCTCCTGCTCCAAGTTCTAGTGCATTAGCATTAGCACTAGCTCCGCCGCCTCCTCCAGAGCCTCTAACGTTAGCTGCTGCTGGCGCAACTGCCACCACCAACACCGGGCAAAGCGATGCACCTGACTGCTGGACAACGGACCAGGTACAATATTTTTGCAAGACCAATGCATGGCTCCTTCTTAAAGATAAGAAGCTAGGATGTCGGATATGCAGAGATGTCAAATCTTTGGGAATACACACTGGACAAGGACTGAAACTGTCAACTGAATGGGGTGAGTGTGCAGTGTCTCATTTCGGTGTTGACAAGGGCAAACAACAAGCTAGCCTGAGAAAAAAAATCAAAGAACATAAAGAATCACAAGCCCATGTAAAAGCTGCTGACATCCTTACATCTGCTTCACGTGAAACTATTCAACATCAAGTGCAGTCTAAGCATACATCTGAATTAGACACCACTATCACAGTTTTTCGAACGGCATATACAATTGGCAAACATAGCCGGCCATTCACAGACATGCCAATTGATTTGAATGTACAGAAACTGAATGGGCTGAACGTGGGCAGGGTTTTGCACTCCAATAAAACCTGTGGCGAAATCATCGACCACATAGCTCATGAGCTGAAGAAAAAAATGGCAAAAGACATTACAGAAAACCAAAGAAAACTCTGTGTTTTGGTCGATGAATCTACCACTATTAGTGGTAAAACGGTGCTTGTTGTGTGTCTACGCTCAGCATTAGCTGATGCTGAGCCCGAAACGTTTTTTTGGGAGCTGATCGAGTTGGATGGAACAACGGCTGATGACATCACAAAGGCGTTAATGGAGTGTCTTGGAAGAGATTTTAACGAGGACTTTTTAGGTCAGTGTTTAGTTTATTTTGCATGTGATGGGGCTTCAGTCATGCTAGGGAAGAGAACAGGCGTTGCTACCCAGTTGTGTAGTAAATTCCCAAGCCTGTTTGTGTGGCACTGCTCCAATCATCGCCTAGAGCTGGCAGTTGGGGATGTGGTCAAGGAGGTCTCAGGGCTCAATCATTTCCAGATCTTTTTTGACAAACTCTATTCCTTGTTCCATGCCTCCCCCAAAAATCAGAGGCAGTTAGCGCAGTGTGCGCAAGCAGTCGGACAGCGTCTCCTGGTGATAGGGCGTGTTTTGTCCATCCGCTGGGTGGCTTCAAGTGAAAGGAGCGTCAGAGCAGTCTGGGAAAACTACCGAGTGCTTCATGATCACTTCACAAATGCTGCAAACGACACGAGCAGGGATTCCAGAGACAGAGCAAAGTACAAGGGCCTGGATGATGTGCTCACATCTGCAACGTTTGTCAGCAATCTGGGACTGATGTACGATGCGCTCACAGAGCTCAGCGACCTCTCTCGGCAACTCCAAAAAAGAGAGATGACACTGCCTACAGCAGATAGGCTCTTAACTCGAGAAATACGAGTTTTTGAATCCATGGTCACCATGCCTGGCCCACACATGACTACAGTTCATACAGCTCTAGCTGAGAAGTCCTTCAAGGGTGTTGCCCTGCGTGAGAATGGCAGGCTTGTACAGATTCATGCAGGTCAGTTTTTCCGCAGTATGGTAGAGAATCTGAGACACAGAATGACTTCCACAACCTCCTCTCATGTCAGCACAAGAGAAATCCCATTACATGGCCGGGAGGCCCGGGACAATCAGCTAATCCAGGACATGAAAGTTATCCATCCTGGAAGTTGGCCTGAAGAGGAGTTAGACGTACAGTATGGGGACGTAGAGGTGCTACGTTTGTGCGAAGTGCTGAAAGTGGACAGAAGAGAGACTGTTCAGGGCTTTCGCGAATACAAGGAAACCAGGGCATCCCGTACACCTGCTGCCATGTCGCCTCTACTGAAAGCAGTCCGAACCATCGCTGTCTCCACTAGTGAGTGTGAGCGGGCATTCAGCTGCATGAACGATATCCTTACTGCAAAAAGGAATGCTCTCTCTGTCAGCCGACTGTCCAGCCTGGTTTTCATTAAATGTAATGGACCATCACTAGGACAGTTCAATCCGGAACAGTATGTGAGGTCCTGGCTGGCAAAGGGAAGGAGAAGTGCTGATGAAAGAGCCTGTCCAGCTCCAGCCCCTGATACTGATGTCCCCAAGGCCTTCTGGAGCCTTTTCTAACAATGTGAAGTATATTGCAAAGCAGCTCACCCAGTGAGAAGACTTTTGGCATAATGTGCCGATTTGTACAGATCCTGGAGATAGAAGGACTTCAGACCAACCAGGGAGTTATCTGATCAGCTTGGTGTTCAATGTAACTCTTTACCATGGCTCAGACTTTGTTACTTGCAGTTACAGTTTCTCATTTTAGATTGTGCAAATTTTGCATTTGTTTTTACATGTTCTTTGTTCATGCTCTTTATCATTTTTCTGAGTTGGAAAGTTAGATTGCATCATAGTTTACTTTATACATATTTGTATTCTTCAGTGGTGAAGTATATTGCAAAGCAGCTCAGCCATGTGATAAGACTTTTGGCACTTTTTCGTTTTTCGTTTTCTGAGTTGGAAAGTTAGATTGCATTCAAAATGTACAGAAATACTTAATTTTGTTAAAGCTTTTTATAAAAAATGCTTCTGACCAGAGCTTTGTTTCCTTGTCATTAATGTTGAACACCACCAGAGGGGCTCTCACCTGAAAGGTCTCTGCTTCATGTGTCTTCAGCAGAAGATCTAGACTTTGATTGCTATATTTTCAGTTAATATTGACCTTACTAAGCTTTAGCCATATCCGCTGCCTATCATAAAAAATGTTAAGAACAGTGAACCTTTCTAAAATATACAGTAGTAAAGAGACAAACCCACCAGCATTATAGTAGCCAAATTCTTGTTTGTGGGCTGTATATATAAAATTGACTTGAAAAAGTTGCTGATTTTAGAGTACTGGCACCTTTTTCATTCCAATTCAAGCACTGTATATACGTGTGTAAAGTTTGTGAAGGCAGGAGGAAAAAAGCTTCCACGATCACCGTCTCCTCTCCGTTCCTCCAAGCCCCGCCCCCTCCCTGAAAATAATGAGTGACAGGCTGATAGTGACCCGATAGAAACTTTATTATTCACTTAATCACTGAGATATAATGAAGCTAACTTAATCTCATACATTCATGGGATTTATGCAACAGTAAGACAGAGCATGTAAGTGTGCACCCACATGCAGTATTTTAGTTGTTATATGCTGTTGTAAATACTCCTGTTGACTGCTGTGTTCAGA